AGGTCAGAAGAAGAACAAAAGCAAGGGCAAAAGGAAGATCCATACTTTAGGGTTCTTCCAAGTTCTACCGTACAGTAAGAATATTACTGGAATAATCTCAATCTCAAGAGCCCTAAAATGTGAGTAGTCAAGCTCGTGGAGCTCCCTGTCGAGAATTAGCGCTGAAAACGTATAGCCACAGGACCGTAGGCACAAGCCTGTTGGGAGCCCGCGAGTGCCATCGCGCGCTTCATTTAGAATCGCGATGGAGCTCCTTGGCAGGCTTCCACGAGAGTTTTCATCCGGCCGCTCGCTTCTTGTTCCTGGCATCAAGCATCCTGGAAGAGGCAAGGTGATTGAGCGTGGCCATGGCAATCAAGCACGAGATCGTTCCCTCGGTAGATCCTGTCCTCCTAGCTCCAAAATCTGGAAGGGATTCTCCCAAAGACGAAACACCGGCCTCGAATGCACCCATATTGTCATATTGGTTCAAGTAGATGGTATGATATTTTATTACTGGAACCAGGAGAAAAGAGGCGCATTCGAGGCGCTCGCTGCCAGCTCGGATGGAATCACCACCGATTCGCGCCTCTCAGGGACGGGGAATAATCTCCTCGGGTACCCGTTTAACTACATGGTATGATATTTTTTATTGGAACCCGGTTGCTGAGATGATGGCTACCAGGTAAGTGTAGAGGTAAACCGTTGTACGAGACCCGGGTTCGATGCCGAAGGGTCCACTCAACAAGGACTTTTATGCAAAAAATTTACTAAATAAGGAGCCATTATTCTGGTTCGCCAGCTCACTAAAAGAGCTTAGACCAGTCAGTTAGGACCTCAGTCTCCCAAACCATATGTTTCTGGTTCGATTCTTTTCTCGATATTATAAATATTTGACCGAGGTGCACAAGCCGAGCTACGTTGTCGCGCTGAAGGATTCACCTCAACCTCGTGCAGATTGCTGCCGAGGGCAAGCCGGATGTTTGTCTCAAACAAAGCTGGAAGGCAAGTGCCCGCTTGCAACTACAAGTAGTGTCCATTTGGAGCTGGAGGAGAGCTTGGCGAAGCATTTGGTCGAAACAGGCACCAACTTCGTGGATAATCGTGTTTTTAGCCTCAGTTCTGCTCCAAGTCGGGTGCTCGCGTCGTCTTCAGGCTCTCTTTTATGGCACACACAGCGAGTTTGAACTTGGAGAGCTCCGGTGGATTGGTCTTGGGCTCGCCCTTGGCTGACAGCGAGAATGCAAGGGGATCCATCGTCATTTCGTTTCGGGCAAAAGATGCTCCCGGGACTGTTTCCAGGTATGACATTATGATCCTCCAGATGGTTCCGTGGTATGTTTGTTTGTATGGCCACACCTACAGGATGCCCGAAACGTGGAGTTCAGACTGATGAGAGTCACACCAGCGGAAGATCGCAAAGCTCCTGCTGCCGTGGAGATTGCTCTGCGAGTTTCTATTGCAACATTGACGATCCAGTATGACAAGGTTTGTGATATTGCTGATTGTTTTGGAAGAGATCTTGATGTTGCTGTTCCATTCATGCAGGGATTTCTTCACATCGACGAGCATGGATGCAAAACCGTGGATTTGATCTGTCCATACGCTCTTGGGAAGCAGAAGCACCAAAAGCTCATCAAGTGGCTGAGAAACGAAGTGATCAAGGTGATACTGGTGGTGATAATTGGTGTGGCTGTAAATCACTACTTGAGCTCGTCATGATGCCACTCTGGGCTCTCGGAGAAAATCATTCTGTCCAGACTACTCCAGAGGTATTTCGAGAGAACAATGTAGGCGCTTGCGTTTCCCATTCACCACACAAAGAGAAACGCGAGCCAACAAGGTAACCCAGGAGCTTTGGGACAGCTTCTCTTATAGCTTCCGGCTGTTAAAAATCGATCTAGCTGCGCTTTGCTAGATCCATGGAGGAGAGTTTTCAATATGTACAGCCTGGGAAGTTAAAAACTTTCTTCTTGAGCTGGATTTATCATGAGGCTTCAGGCTTGGAAATGGTTGTTTTTATCTTTTATCAATCTTGGTGAAAACGAAGCAGCAAAGTTGCTGGATGGCAAGCTAATGTTACACTTTCTTGTGTTCAATACTAAAGCTAGCATTAGAAGTTTTACAGCAGTCAGCGGCCATGGTGGCAATGAAATGGGAGGAAAAATGTAGAGCTTATTCAAACCTTTTGTTGCCTGTGCCACTCTCTGCCAGTGCTGCCTTTTCCCGCTGACTCTGTGAAACTCCTGGAGGAAGCCTGATACACGGTAAGGCGCAGCCGAGGAGAGCATTGTTTTACTCTCAGTGAGCCAAGAGGGTCTGCTCGATTTTAGTTTGAATCACTCCTGTGAAATTTTCCTTCCTTCGCGAGAAGCATTTAGAACCGCGATGGGAGAGGGTGGGCGGCGAGGCGATAGAGCGCTGCCACGATGATCGATTCATCTAAATCCTGTCCTACTAAAACCAGACGGGGACGAAACGCCCAGCAGGACGAATGCGCGGGATAATGGGCGATCTAAATGGATTTCGCAAAGACACATGGTTCAAGTACATGGTATGATTTTTTTATTACGGGAACCCGGTTGCCGAGATGATGGCTATCAGGTAAGTGTAGAGGTAAACCGTTGTACAAGACCCGGGTTCGATGCCGAAGGGTCCACTCAACAAGGACTTTTATGCAAATATTTTGCTCAATAAGTAGCCGCTATTCTGGCTCGCAAGCTCACAAAAACAGCTTAGACCAGTCAGTTAGGACATCGGCCTCTCTAAACAAACGTTTCGGGCTCGATTCTCTATAGTAGAATAAAATAAAGATTATTCATAAATGCCAAGTTTTAGGGCTAGGGCTAGCTAGGGCTTTGGCATCCAGGAGAGAATGCGGGGGAAATCCAGAGCCTAGAGGGAGCATTGGCCAGATTTGCAAGCCAGAATGACCAAGGTCGATGTGAGCTCCCCCGGCAATGGCGCCACCTCGCAAAATCCGAGCTACGCAGTCGGCAACAGCAGCAAGATCGTCAAGGAAGTGGCCGGGGCAGCGGCGGCGGGGATCCCTGGGCTTCCTCTCGTCGTCGCGCTGAATTGCCTCGAGGATTGGCAGATCCTCAATGCCGATGCTCTGGCCGGCATTGCGACGCTGGAGCACCTCAACCTCGCGCAGATTGCCGAGGGCAAGCTGGAGACTGCGGCGGCCGTGATCATCCATTCCCTGGCCTATCTCCCCCGCGCGGCGCAGCGGCGGCTCCAGCCCTGGCAGCTGATTCTCTGCCTGGGATCTATTGACAAGCCGGCGGATTCCACCGCGGCGGCCGAGATGGGACTCAAGCTCGTTCATGTGGATTGTGGGAGGGGCGAGGAGATTGCCGACACGGTCATGGCGTTGCTCCTGGGATTGCTGAGGCACACGCATTCTCTCTCGGCTCAGGGATTTGCAAGCGCTGGCTGGCTGGGATCGATCCAGCCGCTGTGCAAGGGGATGAGGAGATGCCGGGGGCTCGTCATGGGGATCGTTGGTCGGACGCCATCCGCCTGTGCTCTTGCGGTTCGCTGCCTGGCGTTTAAGATGAGAGTGATATACTATGAGACCGAAGAGGTAAGAATTTTTTTTTTCCTTAGTGCTTGTGAGGGAGCTGCTAACTTTGTTGTGGATTTTTTTTTGATGGTGCTTTCGAGGGAGCTGCTAACTTTGTTTGTGGATTTTCTATCAGGTGAAAGAGCAGACTCGCAAGTCTTTTCCTGCGTTTGCTACCAAAGTGGAAAGTCTGAATGAGCTTCTTTCTCAAAGTGATGTGGTTTCGCTTCACTGCCCGCTCACCAACGACACCGTCCAGATTATAAACGCCGAAGCTTTGCAGTACATCAAACCAGGTACCCTTTTTCTCTTTTTCTTTTTTGGTTTCGTTTGCATGCCATGCGTGAATGACCGCATTCTAGTGTTACACGAATTTTTGTTGACGAGCTCAGCGTGCTTTCGCTCAGGGGCTATTATTGTGAATTCAAGCAGCTGCCATCTACTCGACGACTGCGCTGTGAAGCAAGCTCTCATTGACGGCATCATTGCTGGCTGCGCTTTGGATGGCGTCGAAGGTCCGCAATGGCTGGAAGCGTGGGTAAGCACCTGGTTTTTTTATGCGACATGTTTGGAACTTGACTCGTGTTTCTACAGGTCAGGGAGATGTCAAACGTGTTAATTCTTCCTCGGAGTGCCGATTACAGTGACGATGCGTGGAACGAAATCCGGTTAAAGGCATTTTCTCTGCTGAGGTCCTATCTTGTCAATGGAGTTATTCCTGCGAGTTCTGTTTCAGAGGACGAAGAGGACTGGCAGGAAGAGAAGCATGAGCGGTTCGAGAGAGAAAGTGCCAAAGAAGACGATCAGTGGATTGCAGACTCGCAGACCGGCCAGCAGTTTCACCGGAAGCAGCTTGTTTATCCGCCACAGGAGATCCGCGAGGCTCGCAGTATGTACAACAAATCGGGAAAGAAGTCGAAGAAGAGGGGCTCGAGACGGAAATCTCACCAGGTGCCAGAATCGTTCCCAGTTCCGGAGAGAGATGCTAACTGGGTGGCATTGCAAAGAGATGATCCCGGGGGCACAAGCGGGAGAGACCAAGCGGTGAATTCAACTTCCCGTTTCACCTCGCCCGACGATTCCAAGGCCCGACGCGAAGACGCGGACGTGAGCTCGGAGAAACCGGCTAGCGAGTCCGTGCAGGACCTTCAAGCGATCGATGTGCTGAAGGAAGGCTATGTCGTTGCTGTCCGTCCAGTGACTGGGAATGGTTACTACGTTGCTCGGCAGAAAGGTCCCGGACGAAGGTGGTGCCTGGACGTCATGTCGGATGTCACTCCCAGAGATCCTGCTGCTCAGTTCCTCGTGGTGCTACGAAATAGAGTACGTTTTTTTTCATTTTTCCATAGCTCTCTTACATAGGACTACACATTTCTATGTTCTTCTCTTTGGTTTCAGGATCGTCTTGGTTTGAGATCACTGGCTGCTGGTGGAAAGCTTCTACAGGTTCTCATCCGAACTTATGTTTATCTCCTGTCAATGCTTTCATGTGTGCGTGCAGTCCAACAAGAAATCGGAGCTCGTGTTCCTCAACCACAATTTCGATATGTGGGAGAGCTGGGTGCTCGAAGGGTCCCAGCTGAGCGACTGTACGCTCGTGAATAGCAAATTCAGAGGGGTAAGTAGCGCTATCCAGCGCGGCGTCTCTTTCATTTTTCTCTCTTTCACTGACTCCTCACTGTCACAACTCATAAAGGTGTCCATGGACGTGTCAATGGAGGTACTGGCAGCCGTGGGAGAGGACGATGGCGTGGCGAGGTGGCTGAGCTGAGAGTTTGATCCAATGCTCGCAAGAAATAAAGTCTATCTGTGAAGGTATACTTTTGATTCTCCTTGACTCGGAGAGAGCTTCTAACGTGTAACTTTGATTTGTTTGCGATAGTGAAATACATTTATAGTTCATCCAGGAAGAAATCCCGCATCAAAGAAAAAAGGGACTCCAGCAGCACGCCGGTGATCACTGTACAAGCTGTGAGATTTTACGTAGACCGGGAGCTCGGCTATGGTGGAACGAGAGCCCGCTCTCCAAGTAACTTGGAGCAGCTCTCTCACTGGAGCCTCCAACTCTCAGGAGCTAAAACGCGAAGAAACTCCGGGCGAGAGCTCAAAAGGAAGGAACAACGCCAAAGGAGGCATCGTAAGAGTCCATCTCGCCTCGCTTGGCAAACCTTCCTTTGATCCTGGGCCGGGTCTCAGCGTAAGCTTTGCGAGAAGCGTACCTTATCGTCTTCTCAAACTTCCTGTTCTTGCGCTTTTCCCTGTAGCGCAGCACCCTGGCCTCCCGCGCGATCGGCTCGAGGGGAGTGGCATGGTGGAGCGGCGCCGCCGCCGCCTGCGCCTCGCCGCTGCCAAACACTGACGAAGAAGTCGGCCGGCTCTGGGGAGTTGAGATGTCGCTCAAGCTTGCGTCCGGGACGACTCCAACATCGATCGAGGATGCCTGGCGGAGGAAAGAGCGAAGATTATAAACGTGAAAAACGTGAAAAGAGAGAGCTTGTGAAGAACTTACGCTGAGGCTCAGGCCGGGGCAGTAGGCGTGTGGAGGTGATTTGTCGTGGACGTCGAGATCGTATGAGTCGGCGTTGGATCCCACTGGCGAGGAGGAGTGGAGAGCTCCTCCGGTGGTGTGGATTGGAACCAAGCTGTCGGTGACCGAGTGGAGCGCGCCCAGGAAGTCCATGTCCAAGTAGGAGTCCTCGTCCGAGAAGAGATCGAAGTTGGCCGCGGCCTGGGACTTGAGGAGGAGCTTCTCGATCCGGAGGGGCGGAGGTGCCGATGGCTTGAGAGTGGAGTAGAAGTCGGTGCTCTCCACTCCAACATCGCCGCCACCATCGCCTCCGCCAGCAAAGTCGTCGGGATCGTTGGAGTCGCCGTCTCCAGCGCCGCCATCGCTGGAGCCGCCACTGCCACCGCCGCCGCCGAGCTTCTCTCCATCGCTCTTGGCGAGATTGTTGGGCTGTGGGAGGAGCCACGACGCGGCCTCCGCAGCGGAGCTCTCCTCCTCGTCGTCCTCGTCCTCGTCCTTGAGAAGATAGCTGCATTGCTGCTGCTGGTCGTGGTGGTCCTGGGCTTTGACGTGGTTCGCGTTGCCGGTGTCGTGGAGGATTGGCGGAGCTGGAGGAGGAGCGGCGCCGCCGTCGCTAGAGTCGACGAAGGGCGTGATTGGCACGCGCTCGTGGCGGCGGGCGAGGGGATTGGCGGAGTGGATATCGCTGTCGCAGGTGACGCACAGCGCCGCCGCGTCCGCCTTGCAGGTGACCGCCGCCGGGGCGTGCTCGCAGACCTCGCAGACGAGGACGCGCTCGTGTCGCGACGCGAGCTTGTTGGCGCAGTGGACCTTGTTGTCGCAAGAACAGCACAGGAAGGCCGCGTCCGCCCGGCAGTAGATCACTGCATTCCCCGACTGGCACGCATCGCATGGCTTCGTCATTGCTGGATCGATCGATTCGTGGAAATGGCCGTCGATGCCGCAAGATTTGGCCGAAATATCGATCGATTCGATGGAAATGGCCGTCGATACCAAGATTTGGCGATCGATTCTCCGATATTTCGCTGGAATCCTCGATCGTGATCCAAAGAACCAAGAAATCTGCCTTGTGCCGCTCAGCTAAGCCGCTAATCCATCACCGATCCAACCAGTACCTGACGATCCAATCGCGAGTGTCAGCGCCAAAGGGCAGAGCGCGCTATGGATTGACTGGAAGAACTAGATGGAACCTCCATAGCCATTTCTCGCCTCGCGAATATACGCCCCCCAGTGTAGATAGGATGGGTCAGCAACAACCAAGCCTTTATCGCCACGTGGAAGGCTACGCACACGTGGCTAGCAATGGGCGCCTGTCAATCTTTATCTTTCCCACTGGCGCCTCCACGCTGGCGCGCTTCGCCGGGCAGCTCGTGATCCAGTGTCCACACTTTGTGCCACGTCGGTGCCAAGGTGGCGGTGACAGTGACCAGTGCGCACGGCTTGGCCAAGAGCCACATATTTGTCCACTCTCAGTAAAGTTGGCGAGCCAAAAAACCTCCAGTACGCAATCTAGTGGCAAAGAAAAAGAAGAAGAAAAAAAAAACGAGCCAATTGTCTTGACAATGCTCTTTGAGCCTGATTTCTTGACGATGAACTTGGATTTCTTGACAATGCTCTTTGATTTCTTGACGATGCTCTTTGATTTTCTTCGAGACTCTTACCTCCTACGAAACAAATTTGAGGATGGTCTGGGAACGAAACAAAGATCACAAGTTTTTAGAGTTTGAGATGTGAATGAACCGACTTACGCTGTGTAGCGTTCCATGGTTGCCGCGTAGGCCTCCTCTGTGAGGCTCCATAGCCGCTTGGCCAGTTTCTCGTCGCGGGACAGCGCCGATGAAGGGAGCGTGAAGCCGTTTCCACCGAAGAAATACTTCCCAGAGACTTCCTGCGAGTTGTGAAGGGGATTTAGAAGGGTGGCGATGAGGATTTGGATTTACCATGGGAGCTAGAGCGGCATCAACCACGGCTCTCGCTCCGCACCGTGGCGATTGTAGCAAAAACACTCCTTTTAGCATCATGAACGCGAACTGGACAAGCCACCACGGCAGCTCTCTCAGGATTTTCGTCTCGACTACCCCCGGATCAGCTGCCCTGTAGAAATGAACAAGAAACTCAACGCTAGACAAAGATGACCTGGATCTTACATGACTGAAACTCGCAAGTACTTCCGATGGAGCTGATATGTCCACAAAAGTTCATAAACTACACATATGGTGAATCAGAAGCGGAAGAACCAAGTATCATGTTAGCAAGGAGCTTACGTTTCGAAACCTCGTAAGTCATTGCCATTCTATAGTTGTCCTCGTCGTCCAGCTTTTTCTTTCCCAGCATCTTCCAAAAGTCTGAAGGAAGCTTTCGCGCTGCAAAGCGAAGTTCAGCGCACAAGAGAGCGTTTGCGCAAGAATGTACTCACAGGATCTGTGCGTGAAAGAAACGACATTCACAATACGTGCCGTATGCGAGGAATTTTGAAGCTTCGGAAGAAGCAATTGCGTGAGTATGTAAGGCCCCAGATAGTTCGTCATGACCACCCTGCAATGCAAAAAGATAAAACGAGAAGTGAGAGAACGAAAGAAAGAAAAGAAAGAGGGAGAAAGTTTGTTACCGATCGTATCCATCGCTCGTGCATTGCGGAGTCGCGGCAAAAATCCCCGCATTGTTGACGAGCAGCTGGAGCGAGACTTGTGTAGCTCCCAGCCACTCCTCCACCGATTTCACGAACCTCAGTATTGATGGCACTGAGCACAGGTCGAGCTCCATGGGATAGAGCAAAAGATCTTCATGCGTCTTGTGTAGCTCCTTCGCAGCCTAAGAGAACTCCCAAGTGAGCGATGGAATAAGAGAATGTAGGCATACCTTCTCAAGGTTGGCTAGTGATCTTCCAGCTGATCAAAGAATAAGAAGCGAAGCAAAAGGAAGAGAAAGCTTGCTGCTACCTAGAACTACGTGATAGCCTTCGAGAGCCAGGATCTCTGCGGTTGCCTTCCCAATCCCCGACGAAGCCTGAGAAGAACATCACTTGAAGCTAAAGAGGATCAAAACGAAAGAGAGAAACATACCCCAGTGACGATGCAAGCTCGAGCGCAATGCGAGGCGGGCGCGCAGCGAGGATAAATGGCGGCGCGACCAAACACCAGCCGGAACAAGAGCCTGAAATACGCGCATAGCAGAACGAGCGTCCACACAACGCCCATGCGCCATAGCTCGAGCACCATCCTCTCGCGATCCAACCATGCCCTAATATTTGTAATATATCATTTTATTACGAAGAAGTTACTCACGAGCGCGATCACAGCTTAGAACTTAGATATGAGTACTCTACATTGCTACTGATACAAAACTTGCGCAAAAGGAGAGATCGCTGACGATATCTCTTGCTCAATCGTCGAGATAGTAGTAGGATCCCGCGGCCTTTTGCTCTCGATCTTTGGTGGAGTCGAGCTTGTTGATGCGAGGCCTGAAGTTCGTGGGGTCTCGCCGGAAGGTGATGTCCAGGTGCTGCAAAGCGAAACAAACGTAAGATCCATGGAGAAAACGAAAAGAAAAAAAGAAAAGAAGCTACTCACAGAGAGGAAGAGATTCATTCCTGTGAGGAGACTCTGGGGCGGATTGGCAATGCAATCCACCGATGGCCTCCCCTCGTAGACGATGACCCTGTCCGCCAAGTATGTCGCCATGATAAAGTCGTGCTCCACCACGAAGGCGGTCTTCTTGGCGTGGAGGATGAATCGCTTGATCACCTTGGATGCCACAATACGCTGCTCGGAGTCCAAGTAAGCGCTGGGCTCGTCGATAAGGTAGATATCAGCAGGCTGCAAATGCAAGCATGTGTTAAGATCCATTGGAAAGAAAGAAATGTGAAGGAAGGAGTAGTACCTTTCCAAGGCAAAGGCAGAGCGCAACGCGCTGGAGCTCTCCACCGGATAAGTTGACAACATCCTGATCCATGAGCGCTTCGATCTGGAGCGGCTTCATCACGTCCGTGTTGAATTGAGGATGCATGTACGAGTCCCGGATTTTCGAGTGAAGAAGATGCCGCACTGTCGACTGGAACTTGGGACTGATCTTTTGTGGCTTGTACGAGACGTTGAACTCCGGAATGTCAACGGAGTCATCCACTTCGTCAGGTTTCAGCAAACCAGCCTGGTAGAAGACAATATCATGAACTTGCGGGAAAGAGTGAAAAGTTTCTAAACACATACTAGCATCCTTATGAACGTCGTCTTCCCAGTTCCATTCTCCCCAAGCATCACGATGATTTGCGAGTCCGTGAACTCGCCCTCCTTGATTTGAAGCTTGAAGCCTCCTTGAGTCTTCGACATAGACGGATACTTGTACCGAGCGTACGTCTGGACTTCCTCAACGCTTTCTTGAGCACTCTCAGCAACCTTACATATGAATGAAAACGCCTTAAGCAGATAGAGTTTGCAAGACTGATTCATACCTTGAAAGTGAGTGACTCATCACGGAACCTCAGATTTTCCGTGGGAACGAATCCAGCGAGAAAAATGTTGATACCTTCTCTCACGGAGAATGGAAGCGTCACAACACCATAAGCACCTGGTTTCCCGTAGAGGCAGCAGATGAAGTCGGACAGGTAGTCTAGCACGCTCAAGTCATGCTCCACAACGATCACATAGCTGTCGAAAAATCAGAAAGGTTGAGTGGAAAAACCAAGAAAGAAAAGAAGAACTCTTACCTATTTGGCCTCAGAAGGGATCGAACGACCTGAGCAGCTTTCAACCTCTGCTTGACATCGAGATAGCTGGATGGCTCGTCAAACATGTAAATCTCAGCATTCTGCACGGCCACCACGGCAATAGCGAAACGTTGGAGCTCCCCACCGGACAGATCCCCGACATCTCGGTCCAAGACGTTATTTAGATCCAGATCATGGCACAGATCCGTTTTCAGATCCTTTTCGTCCTTCTGCGAGAGAACTTCCCCGACGTTGCCCTTGACTGCTTTGGGAATATGATCGACGTATTGTGGTTTGATGATGGCCTGAGGCAGAAGGTTTAAGTGATGGAGTGAACTCTAACTTTCCTTACCTTCAGGTGATCTTCTAGAATACGAGTGAAGTAGTTCTGTAGCTCGGATCCTCGGAAGTATGTCAAGATCTCTTGCCAGTCCGGCGGATTCTACAACAGAACAATGTCATGAACAAGAAAATAAATAAATAAAAAATCGGAAGTACCGCAAACTTCCCAAGGTTGGGCTTGAGTTTTCCAGCAAGAACTTTCAGCGCAGTAGATTTCCCGATACCGTTCGTGCCAACAAGACCCAAGACCTGGCCTGGCCTTGGAACAGGCAGCCTGTTTACGTGAACTACAAGTCATCACCACAACGCATCTGGGAAACAAGCAAACCTGTGGAGCTTGAAAGTGTTTGCTCCGTATCGATGCGTGGTATCTTTATCAAGGTCCTTGGGAAGATTGATGATCTGTATCGCTTCAAAGGGACATTTCTGTCACACACCACAACAACTAAGAACCATAAAAGCCCACGAAAAAATAGAAGCTTGCACCGACCTTCACGCAAATACCACAACCGATGCACAGCTCCTCCGAAATAAATGCGATCTTCGATGCGGACGAGACCTCGATACACAGCTTCCCTGGAATTCGAATTAGGCCATCGCAGATCTAGCGCGAGAGAAGTAAACCTTGCCTGTTTTCACCACGGGGCAGCTCTTCTTGCACTCCTGCCGGCACTTCTTGGGTTTGCAACGATCGGAGCTGACAATCGCGATCCTAGTGAGGCGATCCATCGCGCCCCCCCTCACCGCGGCTTGGGCGGCTGGAGGCACACCTCAACTGGAGCCCTAGATTCTAGGGTTTATACGAACCAACGATGATGATCTTCGATCTAGACCTAATTTTCCACGCGCTCGCGTGAGAGGAATGAGCTATGGGATGCTCGTTCTCGGGGCTGAATGCGCTCTATGAGGCCGTCAGCGGCGCCGCCGACATCTGGATCAACCAGCGCCGCTTCCGGATCGTGCGGCAGCTCGGCGAGGGCGGATTCGCGTTCGTCTACCTCGCCCGGGAGATCCAAGGCGATCGGCCTCTCAAGCAATCCTCCCAAGTCTCAGGTTCGTCCCCACGCGCGCGCGCCCTGCTAGATCGCTCGATTGACCGATATTTTGCTCGATCTCTTTCCAGACGACGGTCTGTATGCCGTGAAGAAAGTGCTGATCCAGTCCGAGGAGCAGCTCGCGCTCGTCAAGCGCGAGATCCAAGTCTCGTCGCTCTTCAAGCATCCCAATCTCCTGCCTCTCCTGGAGCATTCCATGATCGCCGTCAAGGTTTGCCTCTCTTTCTCCGATCCAAGATCGCTCTCAGCGTGAAACAATCCAAGCAGGGATCGCGAGAAGGCACTTGGAACACCGAGGCCTATCTCTTGTTTCCAGTGTATCCCGATGGAACGCTCCAAAGTCAGCTGGAGGAGATGCGATCTAGAGGCGAGTTCTTCCCAGCAGTCACGGTTCTTCACATCTTCCAACAGGTAGAAAACCAGTCGTGGCTTCTTCGATCTTCATCACACTCGTTTCTTCTTTGCACAGATCTGCCAAGCTTTGAAGCAAATGCACAAGCACGATCCATCTTACTCCCACAACGACGTCAAGCCAGGAAACGTTCTCCTTTCCAAGTCCAGCAACCAAGATCCACCCAAAGCAGTGGTGATGGACTTTGGCAGCGCGACTCTAGCAAGGAAACGCGTTCGGTCTCGCTCGGAAGCTCTCGCCATCCAGGTAACAAAGCCAAAGAAAAAGAGGAGGAGAAGAAGAAGTTAGCTTTGTCACCGAATGCGAACAGCTTGCCTTGTCCACAGGAATGGGCCGCCGAGCACTGCTCGGCTCCGTATCGAGCACCGGAGCTGTGGGACTGTCCCAGCATCGCGGACATTGACGAGCGAGTCGACGTTTGGTCACTCGGCTGTACACTCTTCGCGATCATGTAAGTTCTTCCTCCAACTTTGTAGGTTTTTTCTCCGAAAGTTTTGAGATTGAGAGGCTTCGTCTCTACTCTTCTCAGGTACTGCGTCTCGCCATTCGAGCACTCTCTCGGCGAGGCCGGCGGAAGCTTACAGTTGGCGTCCATGAGCGGGCAGATAAAATGGCCGAGCACTCCGCCATATCCTCGCTCGTTTCACAAGCTCGTTTCGTGGATGGTAGAGCCTCGAGTCGCAAACAGGCCCGACGTCGAGGCAGTGATCGCCGTGGTCACAAAGATGCTGTCCAAGTTTCCGGAAGAGGTCGACTCATCCGTGTTCTAGAAACCATCTTCTGCAAAAGAAACGAGAACTTTTCTCAAACAGCAATTGAAAGACATGCTTACGAGTCTCTAGCGAGTGTAGTATAAGCCTACTATTTCATCAAATGGTATCATACAAGCTAAAATCTCGGGGCCGGTAAATTGTCAAATCCAAAATTTCGGACGCCTTCACTCACTCACGTACCTCTCTTCTTGTGTTTATTCTCTCGTCTGTCAGCCCGAGAAGAGGAAGCGTATGTCGTCCATGGTGAGCCTACTCTTTTGATTGTTCCCTTCGTTCTCTCCAAACGCCGACGAAACCATTTGCTTCTTTCGTTCCTGTGCAAACAAGAGCGTTAGACCGTTAAACCAAAGCTTCACATTCAAAGCTCGTACCTGTAAAGCTAGAATTCGATCCTCAATGGTGTTCTTCACGGTAAACCTTGAAACGTGGACGGGACGAGTCTGTCCGATACGATGAGCTCGATCGATGGCTTGGTCCTCCGTTGTAGGATTCCACCACACATCGAGAAGAAGAACATGACACGCAGCAACCATGTTGAGTCCCAAGCTTGCGGCCTTGAGTGACATGATCATCACAGACACCTGTGAAGAAAACGACGTCAGACAAAGTTTGTTTTGAGAAAAAAAGGATTGCGTACCTCTGGATTGGTGTTGAATTCCGTGACCGCAGAGTCCCTTTCCACAACAGTCATTGTACCATCCAATCTGCTGAAACGAAGATCGGCCTTCCTTAGCTGGGGCTCCAGCAAGTCCAGCATACTTGTCCACTGGGAGAAAACAATAGCCTTTTCTGTCTCAGCTCTCCTTCGTGTCCCGTCTGGCGCTGGTCCGGCAGGATTTTTTACGGGAAGATTTTTCAGCAGCTTCATGACCGCTTCAATCTTGGAAGACGAGATCCATCCGTTGGTGTCGGTTGGCTGCCTTTTCTTCTTTCCCTTGTTATTGTTGTTGGTGGTGGGCTCAATACCCAGGTTGCAATTCCTCAACGCAGTCAGACTGTACAATAGGCAACTGTTGAGCTGAATGGTGCACTTTGGAAAAGGGCATTCGGTATCATCGCTGGTGGCTAGCTTCTCTGAGATGCACTGCCTACAGAAGACGTGACCACACCAGCTTATAACGGCCCACTCGGGAACATCCTGAAATGTTCACAAAATATTAGACATAGCCCCGAAAGCAAACAAAAAAACTTACCGCACATATAGTGCATATGGACTTGTTCCGATCCAAAGTATTCTGGAGCTCCACCCTTCTCTCCAGCGCCAACTTCTTTACGTTTTCAACCGCGTCGAACTCCGTCGACTCGTTGTTTGTTTCCTTGACAAGGAGAGGGTGGTCGCACGCTTGCCGAAGCCGCAGTAACATATACAAGATGTTCACGTAGTTACTCTGAAGCGTGCCCTCCTCAGCATAAACCTGGTGGCATACATAGACATGAAGTCAGTTGGCAGACAAAACAACCAGACTATCATACCTGGAACTGTCTGCGTGACTCGAGTTCCAAACTATTATAGAATATACGCTCCTCTTCGCTGAATTCAGCCTGTTGGAGGCAAACAAATCTCGGAGGCAAGTTTACGATTGGTTGTCCATCGATCAATGTTGCTGAAAAAGAAAAAAGTCGTCAGAGATTTGATAGAAAATACAAAAAACTTGCCTTTTGTTCGACGAAGCATAACCACCTGAAGAATCAGCTGCAGTTTCTTATATCCCAAAACTGGATTTCGAGTGATCGGGTCCTTCACCTCCGATCTGAAGGACTTGTACGTGTCCAGCGGGTCGAAGCGTAGGAAGCGAAAGTAGCTGTACAGATCGTCAATTGCATTCTGGATTGGTGTACCTGATAGACACCATCGCTTCTTGGCCCTCAACCCCCAGCAAGCCCGAGCTACTTGTGTCCTTGAATTTTTTATGCTTTGCGCCTCGTCCAAAACAACTCGATACCAGCTCACTTTTGCTAGAGGGCCCGACTCGGGAATCTTCTCGTCCGAGAGTCTCTTCTTTGGCTTGCTCTTCTTTTTCGGATATCCTCGAAAGTTGCCAAGCCCGTAGTCATCGTAATTCCTCTTATCTTCTTCTTTCTCTTCTGGCAATAGCTGCTTCGGCACCTCCATACTCACGATTGGATACGTTGTTAGAACAACGTCGTACTTCGCAAGGTCGTCGGCACTCCTTGTCCTGCTACTTCCATGATATACCAAAATCGAGAGATTCGCCGCGGGTGTCACCTTTGCCTTGATCTCATGTGCCCACTGTCTCAAAACACTCGTTGGGCAGATAACAAGGGTGCCACCTGTTTTTCTTCCTCTGCCTAGAGATGACTTTCTATCATCCAGCTTTTGAGAACTTTCGTCATCGTCTTTGTCCCCATCCTCATCGTCGTCAAGATCCACAGGCTCAGATTCAATAAGTGCTGTCTCCGATATGGCCAAGTTTAGCTTTGAAACTGGCGCCCGAGCTTTAAGGATAAGTGCTATCGTAGACACGGTTTTACCAAGTCCCTACGAACACACAACAAAGAGCTCAGCAATCAGGAAAAACATGACCACCATCACATAGGCCTACCTGATCGTCTGCAAGGATTCCCCCAGAACATTCCACACGATTTTCACTCTTTTCCATCCACGCCAAAGCTATTCTCTGCATAGAAAAGCTTCTTAGAAGAGGTCGAAGATAAGAAAAAGTCGCACCTGATGTTTGAGAAGAGGGATTGTCATCAAGCCCTCCTCTGGACTGGCCTCTTCCTTTTCATCGACAGTGATCATCCTCTACCGAAAAAGAAATAAAATCGCTGCCGCAATGAACAATCTAAAAACGTACCTGCAAGATTGTTCGGAGGTTTCTATCTTCCTGTACCCGTGGTTCTGAAGAGTAATGCCTCCGGGTGGTTCCACCTCTTTCGTCCCGTTGATCAGATTCGTCATCTGAGTTAAGAACTTCAGCGTTCCCGTTCTCTTCTTTCTTTACGCTGGCGTTGGTCTGCTCCTGAGCATACCACCAGGCCTTCGAAGTGGTCTCCTGAGAAGCGAAGCTCAGGGGCAGCTTGCGCTTCTCTCCTACAATCCCAACCTCATCTTCTTCACCGTCACTAATCTCGATAACCTCAGACTTCGCCGCAGCACCATTACCAAAAGACCAGGAGCTCTCACACACTGGAGTGAAAGTAGTGGAATTCAACGTTGGATCATAAACCTCGCCCTCTGCCCCGATAACTGAACCGCTAGACCTGTCGTAGTCACTGGATTGATAGTACGGGAATGTTGCCGAAGACGAGGGATCATGTAAAGAAGGTGACACTCCATGGGTATCTGGAAAACAAGTTTTTCAGAAACAGAAAAAACAAAAAAAAAAACAGAAGCCAACTTACACTCTTGTGGCGCTTGTACTAAAGGGCTAGTTTCTGGCGCTGCTAGAATCTCGTCCTGCCCGACTATATCTTGCTGCCACAAAGAAAAGAACAAAGCTAAGTTGGAGAACGAAAAGAAAATTCTAAAAACTACTCACCAGATTTTTTTCCGGTTCTTTGAGCAAGCAAAACAGCTGGTCAAGCTCCATGTCCGCCTCCGGCTCGGCCTGGGCAGCCACGGACTCGGCCCCTTGCACGCCATGCTGGACGCAAGCATCGTCCACAAAAGCATTCCACTCCTGGTTCGTGTAGCTCTGATCGATACCTCCGGCGCAAATCCGGCTCTCCTCGAGAAGCTTTTGGCAGGGGTCACCAACAGGCCTCTGGCACATTGTCATCCCTCGCAGACCATGAGATTGGCAGCAGCACAAGAAATTCCGGACCTAAACCCCCGCAGCCAAGCACTAATCGCAGCGCCGCAGCTCAAAAATCTCCACTCCCGGTGCGACCAAGCTCTCCAACGCGAGGATCCACAGCGCCTACCTCCGCGCCATGCATCGCCTGCCGCTAAAATCCCTAATTCCTATCTCCACACTGCCAACCCTAAAAAGCTTGCTCGCCACACAAGGTCATGGTTTTAAAGGAAGATACAAGCGCCGGGCATTTCCTTTTACCAGTAAAGCCAGGCTAAGATTAAAATAATGCCAGACATTGGCCCACGATATTTTGCCTCGCCAATGCCATTCCGGATCGTAACGCCCCCGCCAATCGACGGTCGTGCGTGAATGAAAGAATTTCCTAGTTTCTACCTCGTATATTACAAACACTATGAATTTCTTCTATCTGGTCACTTCTAGCGAAGATACTTATTCGTGCGAGTCTTGCAGCCCAAAAACTCCTCTTTCTTCTCGTTCTCACTTCCATCGGATCCCTCTTGCTGCGTCCTCGATCAAAGAATGGTGTCGCTGCTCTGCTCGATCCAAAACCGGATCCTTTCTATTCAGTCTAATGCAGCCTTGCTGCGCCTCGTGAAGCTGTCCAGCAATGGTATCGTCACACTGCTCTGGATCTGTGCCTGGCTCCAACTCGCTAGATCTCCTTTGCTTCCATTCTTGAGCATGGAAGACGGCGGAGGCTTCTCGTCCTGGAAGTTTGGAGCGCTGGGCGACTTCTTGAGCTTGAAGATGAGCTCTTCCACTACTTTGCCACTGCGTAGGCCTTTCCCATTCCCAGCTTCGCCCCCGGAGTTGAAGACCACGGCTCGACCAGCCGGGCAATCCACCTCTACCTCTAGTCCTAGTCTAGAAGCTTTCGGCCTTGGAACGCTGCTTCTCACTGCGTAGTTTGTCCTGTCACCAAGAAGTTGCTGCTTAGCACTATGATCCTCGGCCGCTAGAGCTTCACCTTTGGGACGCCGCCGCACCGCGACACGCTCCCTCGCCTTTTCTACTTCGTGGGCCACGAAATCTCTAGCCATGCTCACCATGCTGTTGAAGCTGGCGAGCTTTGGTTCCGTGGCCAAGTTGGTGGGAGCGTGAGCTCTTGGTCTGTTGGAGACCTGGTCCCGCGGAGTGAATGGCTCGTCCTCGGATTGATAGCCATTATCTGTTCTGTAGACTTCCATCTCGGTTCCTTCACCCTCGAGTTTTGATGTCGATAACCCGTAGTAACCTCTCATCAAGCTCATCGCGGAGCTCACTTTCGTTGGCTCCTCGCTCTTGTTGGGAAGCACGATGTCGCAGAAAGAATGTCTCCCGAGACGAGGCTGCTCTGAGTTCGCACTGCTGCTAAAATGCATCAAAAAGGAAGAAAGATTGTTTTTATCTTCAAGGTTTCGAGAACGAGAATGAGAAAATGTACCTGTGTGATGCGAACTGCTCTGATGGAGGATGCTTTGCCGACGATGGGATGCGAAGGCTCTTTCGTGCAAACATTTGAAGATCTGTTGACAAGCCATTCAGTCGCTTGACATCGGCAACCTGGATGAATTTTTCTAGTTAGTTTTCCATTCCTACACCAAAGTTTTCATCGAGCACAAACCTCCACACCATACTTGATGGCAATTCCCGCAAGAGTGTCCAGCTTCGAAACATAGTGCACGATGTACCCTTCTCCTCCTGAGGTCGATGCGTCCCCATCCAGATCCATGAGATCTTCCGAAAACCTGTAGCGCCGGGCCAAAAATTCCCCGCGTCCCCCTTGTCCCATGCAGCGCCGCTGCCCTTACCTCCCCGCTCCTCTTCCAGGTCCCCGCCCGGAGCCGAATCGCAGCACGCAATCGCCCCAAAACCCGAAATTCGAGCACACCATGGCCAGCTACAGCGCCGCCGCCATGAGATCCACGCCAATTCCCACCCCACCACCAAACCCTAGCTCCGGCGACGCATCACCGCCCCGGATCCAAGCTGAAATCCCTGCCCCTCCGCAAATCAAAGCTGCAATGGTCGATCGCACGCCCTCCGCCACCGCGCGTGCCAACTGTGGAGCGATTACTGCGTTGCGCGAAGAACACACACACACACACACTAGGCTAGAGGAATGAAAAAAGGGAAAGAAGTTCCGTGTGAAAACGCGGACCAAATGGGGGTGGCATATTCTCCCTAGGAGCGACCATGCAAGGGCATGGGCATGGCCCGCGCATGACGTCATCCCCCGGTTAGCTTGGATTCTCTCAGAAAAGTCCACACCAACGCGCCAGTCTCTTTTCAATCTTGCTTACTTAGCGCGCAAATCTCACTTTTGTTTAATCTAAAACGCTCCGTGTATTAGCGGCGGAGACTCGGCTAGCTCGTAGATGTTCTTCTCGAACGCCGCCATCTCTTGCGGCTCCAAGCCGAGATAAACGTTTGCTCCGCCATCGTTCTTCCCGTTCGCCACGATCACGATGAATCCAACCAGCTGGTTTGGGACCGGCCCCGCGAAGATTGGCGTCCCCCACCCGAAGTCGAGCGCGTAGAATGGCAGCTTCCACCAGGCGGAGAGGCAGGCGCCGATTGGAATCCTCGCGGGGCCGATGCGATGGAGCTCCCAGAAGTCCGTCCAGGATCGCACATACTCGTCGTCGACGTCGCTGAGAACCTCCTGGACTCGGCGCGCGAAGTGGCCCAGGCTGTAGGTGCAAAGCTCCTGGTGGGTGGCGGCGACGCACGCCGCCACCACCGCGTTGCCGCAGAAGTTGGGCGGCGGCGGCGGCTGGAGCTTCCGGGAGAAGTCCACCGCCAGGAACGTCGAGACGAGCGCGGAGGGATCGCTGGGGCGGGAGCGCGCGACTTGGCGGAGGACGTGAGCGGTGATGGCCTCGAAGCTGGAGCAGCGGGAGAGCGTCTCGTCCTTGAGGCAGGCCTGCTTGAGCTCCGAGATCATCTGGCTCGACACCGGGAAGCTCCTGAAGACGTGCTTCTCCGGGGCGAAGTTGTTCACGCTCGACGTCGTGGGATTGAATGGCAGCAGCGGGATCTCGGAGAAGCTCGACACTCGGAACTGGCGGCACATGAGCTGCTCGTAGTGCTGCGGCTGCGGAGGATTCCTGGCCTTGAGGAACTCCCGGTTTGGATTCGGCACCATGACGACGCCGCCACCTCTCGCGATGGAGCCGAGATTGTCGAAGAAGCCGGTGATCGCAACTCCGTCCATCAGCGAGTGAAAGATGGTCATTCCAAAGACGAAGCCACCGCACTTGAATCTAGTGATCTAGAAGAAAGAACCATCGTAAACGAAGAGCAAGAAGAAGTTTGCGAGGACTTACTTGGAACGTTGCGGGTGGAGTCTCAAACAATCCCAGAGAATCACTCGGCTGGACGAGGAGGCTCCGAAATGCTGGATTCGGAACCGAGAGATCTCTCAGGTCGCTAAGCCGGAGCTTGCTCGTAGCAGCAGCGAACAAGACCCCGGCTCCATTGCAATTCACCTCGAGCCGTCCTTCCTTGGCATTCGGCGCAAATCTCCCGGCCAGGAAGTAGTACGTTACCAGCGTTTTCGCCAGCGCCGCCTCGATCACCTCGGCAGGATCGTCGCTCTCTCGCTCAGGGTTGGCAGCGAAAACGTAGACCGATTCCACCTTGTACATTGCCTCCTGGTCGATGTTTGAGAGGAACAGTGTGCTGTGCTCCACTGCCTGCGCTGGAGCGACGATTTTGGAGGAGCCAACTTCGATCTGGAGGTCGGACACCGGCGCGACAGCCATGTCACAAGATCGTCCAGCGAGAAGAATGGAAAAACTCCCCCAATTCAAGAGACTTACTGTGGAGATTTATACGAGGCGAGCCCGGAGTGTCGGAATGGCGATTCTTTGCATGAGACAACGCAAAGATTGGCGCAAGATCCACGAGCAACGCGTGTGTCGCCATCCCCAGATCTCCCGCTGCCCTAAATTTCAAAAGAACCCAAGGACCCTAAAATCCTGTAATGGAGTTTTTTTTCACTGAACCGCGGTCTCGACGTCTACAAGAATGGGATTCATCTTGAGCTGCGCCGCGAAGCTCTCAATCAGCGCTCTCATCAGCGACTGGAATTCGCGCTCGTCCACATCGCCGCTGCTATCGGCATCGATCTCCTTGAAAATTTGCGCGTAGAGCTCGTCCGCCGAGTCTTCGTCCAGCGGCGGGAGGCCCCACTGGGCGGCGCGGCTCTCGAAAACCGGGCGGATCTCCGACTTGCTCAGCTTGCCATCTTTGTCCGAGTCAAGCTCCTTGAACGTGTCCTTGGCCATGTCCGAGAAGAGCTCCTCGTCGTGCAACACCTGATCGATTGGAGTCAGCGTTTTTTTCCTTGAGAATTTTGCTGGAAGGAAGTACCTTGCGGAGATTGGATCCATCCAAAACTTTCACGTCCCGGACAACCACAATGGGCTGCGAGGCCAGAGTCTCGGAGAGATCCTGGAGAACGTCTTGGAGCAGCTTGGCGAACTGGGTTTGCCCGAGCTCTTTGCTATCTTGGCTGGCGTATTTGCTTAGCAGCTTGGTGAGGAGATCTTCAACATCCGGCTTGGCTGAAAATGAGAAGGACAAAAAGGAAGAACCATCAAGCTATTACAATGTAAGTGGAAAGATGAAACTTACCAGATGGATTGGGACATCCCACTGCCGCGACCAGCTGGAGCACGGCAGATCGAAGCTCGCTACGGTTGAGCTTGCCGCTGTTATCAGCATCCAGTTCGTCAAAAACGTTCTCTGCAACCATCGCAAATTCGTCCTCGTCTTCCAAGAGTCCCTTGAATGCCGATCCGTCCAGAACCGACACAACGATCGGCTTTTCTGCGCAATGGACAGTTCGATTAGACAAAGAAACTGGATCAAGAACACGAAATAGTCTCAATCGAGGAAAAAAGGTGAAGCAATCTATCAATCCCTCACCTTGGAGAGCATCCGCCACGGCCTCGAGATAGCTGCGAAGACTCGCCTCAAAAGCCGCGGCATCTAGCAGCGTATTTGGATCGGGCAGCCGCGACGCCGCGGCAGTCACCACAAGCTGCCGCCCGCACAGCTCCGATCCAAGAAGCAGTGCCGCCGCTTCCTCCTCGGCAGCAATCCGCGCATCCACAGACGAAGACGACGGCGATCCATCCGCCGCCTTGACAAGCCGCTGGAATCGGCGGCGCACGCGATCCGGGAGCTGCGACCCTAGCAGCGCCTCGCGAATAGAGCTTCCGTCTAGGATGCGAAATACCCCCTCTTCCATTCTAGGCTACGTTCTTGCATTCCTTTTTCTTACATTAAAAAGCGAAGAATATGCTCATTAGAGAGTCTAGATTAAAATGTTGAATTACATTGGCTCAAAACTTTCGAAAATTTTCTTTTTTCGGCAAATCACACTAATCGAACAAGCTAAAGCCCATGTCATCATCGCTCTCTTCTTTCGCTTCCTCCTGTTTCAAGCCAAAAAACCTAATTTCAGCCAAGAGACCAGAGTAACACCCCCAAATTCATACCTTCTTCTCTTCCTTCTCCTCGGCAGCGGCAGGCGCGGCCGCGGAATCCCCAGCAACAGCGCTCACCGCCACTGCGGCGCCTCCACCTCCTGCGAATCCATTGGATTGTCAAAGCAAGAAATCTCACGCATTTTCTAGCATACCGGATCCACAGCTGAGGATGAGATCATCGACGCTCCTCTTTTCAAGCAGCTTGGCGAAAAGACTCGGCCAGTAGGAGTCCACCTTCACATTCGCGGCCTTCACCAGCGTTGCAATCTTCTCGGCCTGTTCCAGCGCCACGATCGATCAATTTCGCGTCCAAAATCTAGAGCTCTAGCGCTTACCGTGATGGCGATCCCATCGTCGTGAAGGATTAGAGCGGCATACGTGCAAGCAGTCTCTCCCATTGCTGCGCTTCAGTCGCCAAAAACCCTTGGCGGCTACCCTAATCCTTAAGCTTTATGTCTTGCCAAGGGACGGCCCAGATAATGCTTTGGCGGATCCACGGCTGATATGGGCGTAAACAATCAACGGTCGATCCGGGGGTTGGGTTTTTGTGGCAATGGCGGGCTTGAGCTTGGGCGAGGGCGCATTGTTCTCCGCCTCGACGCATCGCACTGGTCGAAGAAGATCGATTATTTCCGCGAAATCTGGCTCTAGCTTCACGATCGCCGCTGAGAGGAGCAAGATTTCGGGGATTGAAAAGATTCAGGGCGGGAAGCGGCTCCAAACGCAGGTATCTCCCGTGGCGCCTTCTGTGACAACGCTCCGATCGCTGGATTGGGACCGAGATCGCTTCGATATGTAAGTGTTGAGAATTTTTCCCATCCAATCGTGATTTCTTGATCCAATGCTGGCAATAACAGCGAGTTTGGATTGCAAAATGGAACAACGTATAATTCCTACATCATCGAGGGAGACCAGCTTGCGATCATCGACGCGTCACACGAGAAGTTTCGGTTCCAGTACCTTGCAGCACTCAAGGAACAGATCGATCCGGCCACCATCAATTACGTAATCGCGAATCACACGGAGCCCGACCACAGTGGCCTTATTCCAGAAATTCTCAAGCTCGCGCCGGATGCTGTCGTCGTTGGGTCCAAAGTTTGCATACAGTTCTTGCAGAACCTTGTTCTCACCCCGTTCAAGAGCATGGTCGTAAAGGTTTGTATCAAACTTCGTCTTCGCTTTGCTTTTGTTTTTCTATCTCTTTTTGTACAAGAGTGTGTTTTTGTCCGTGATTTCTTTGTGCTTTTTCTATTGACTGCAGGAACTGTATGATCGCAGGGAGGGGAGAAGCTCGATCTGGGAAAAGGTCATGTCTTGGAGTTTGTGATGGCTCCTAATTTACATTGGCCGGACACCATGTTTACCTTCGATCATGGTTCCAAAGTTCTTTTTACGTGCGATGCATTTGGAATGCACTACTGTTCAACAGCGGTAAGTCGTTGTGGTCTCTTTGACACTCGTAATTTTCTAAAATGGCATTTACAGACTTACGATGAGGATCTCATGACAATCGAACCACACTATCGGTTTTACTACGACTGTCTCATGAAGCCGAATGCTCGGTCTGTGTTAGTCGGGCTCAAGCGGGTGAAGGACCTGGATTTCGCAGTAATTGCAACGGGACACGGGCCTTTGCTGAGGTATAATGTTCCAGAGCTGATGAGCAAATATGAAAACTGGAGCAAGCAGGCACTGGAAAAACAGCTAGCTAGTGTCGCTGTGCTTTACGTCTCGGATTATGGCTACAGCGATCGACTCTCTCAGGTAAGCGTTTTCATTCGGATGTTGTGCGACGCTTAACTTCATTTGGCCAGACATTCGCTAGAGGCCTGACGAAGACGGATACAGGAGCTCAGATGATTGACTTGAACTCGACAGATTCGCAAGAGATTGTAGAGAGCGTTGCTCGAAATAGTGCGGTGTTCTTAATGACGCCTCCAAGCACAGGACCTGCAAACGCAGCCATCAGCACGCTCTACGCAGCGTTGAAAACAAAGAAGGTTTGGAACTTGATTTGGAACTTGCGTCTTGTGTTTTGGCTTACTGAAATCGACGAACATGTGTTGCAGCCAGTTTTGATAGCAGAAAGTTATGGAGGCGACGATGAGCCCGTTGATACGATTTTGCAACGTTTTGTGGAGCTGGGAATTCCAACTCCTCTTCCTGCTTTAAGAGTCAAGGAAACTCCGACAGAATCAACGTATAGAAGATACTTTTTTTTTAATCCTGCTGGTTTCGACTAACGTCGCCGTATATGCAGGTATCAACAATTTGAAGAAGCAGGCACGGACTTGGGACAACTGCTTTCTCAAAAGAAAGTCATTGAAGCCAAAAAGACACAGATGCCTGTGAATGTTGCCAAGGCAATAGCTCGAGTGTCAGGCGGGATCTACGTCGTGACTGCCTTTAAAGGCTCAACAAAAGGAGCTATGATCGCATCTTGGGTGTCCCAGGTAATAAAACAAAACTTTGCCTTGAGATTCTACAACTGACTGGGTGATTATCCGAGCAGGCTAGCTTCAAACCTCTAGGCATTACCATAGCAGTCGCCAAAGACAGAGCTATCGAGTCTCTCATGCAGGTTCGTCCATCTCTTTTATTTGATGTCCCTAAGCTTAGATTTTACTCACAGGTTGGTGACAACTTCGTCCTCAACTGTTTGGAAGAAGGAAACTCCACAAAACTAATGAAACACTTTCTAAAACGTTTTCCTCCTGGGGGTAAGCATCACCAGAGCACTACCGTCTAATGCTACTAAGAATCTCTCTGTGATTTTTGCCGCTACAGCCGATCGCTTCGAAGGAGTGGAATGGACTGTTGGAAAAAATTCGTGTCCCATCCTGGTGGATGCTCTAGCTTATCTCGAGTGCACAGTGGTGACTCGAATGGAAGTGAGCGATCACTGGATCATCTACGCTCACGCCACCGAGGGCAGTGTCTCAAAGCCAGACGCTAGAACTGCCGTGCACCACCGAAAGATTGGAAACTACTACTGATGGAGCGATGCCGAGCGAAAGCCTGATCATAAAATCAAGAGCATTGGAGGAATGACGAAAGCTTCGCTCACAGTGAGAAATACTTTGATCACAGTGAGATATTTTATCGAATATGCTTGTCAAACATGGTTGGTTGGTGTGATCTCAGCAACCCAGGAAGGAGAAAGGAAGGAAGAAAGACGTACTTAACATTCCCATTGTTATTATTTAACCGAGCACTGGGAGCTAGGGTTCTTGAGAGGGCGACCGATCGATGGCGGCAAATGCGGGCATGGCGCGCGCGCTGGTGGCCCGATCCACATTCCTCGGCGGCGATGGGCGCTGCTCGTCACCGGCTTCACAGGTATCGCCATTCTCCCGCGTCAGGATCGGGCACCCCGATCGGCGGCAGCGCGAGATTTCGTGCACGGCGACGGTAGGCACCGGGATTGCGCCGTCGTCGCGGATCGAGAGCATCGAGAACGATGGCAGGGTTTACAACTTCGCGGCCGGGCCGGCGACGCTGCCCGCCAATGTGGTGAAGAAGGCGCAGCAGGATCTCTACAACTGGCAGGGCTGTGGGATGAGCATCATGGAGATGAGCCACCGGGGGAAAGAATTTCTTTCCGTGATCCAAAAGGCCGAGGCAGATCTTCGAGCGCTGCTGGCCATTCCAGACAACTACGAGGTCCTCTTCTTGCAAGGCGGGGCTTCCACGCTCTTCTCGGCTATCCCGCTCAACCTTTGCTCGCCGGAGGACACTGCCGACTTCATCGTCACGGGCTCCTGGGGCGACAAAGCTTACAAGGAAGCGCAGAAGTACTGCAAGGCGAATCTCGCGTGGAGCGGCAAGGCCACCAAGTACACCTCCATTCCATCGTCAGGGTCGGAGCTCAAGCTCACTCCAGGTGCCAAGTTCGTCCATGTCTGCACCAACGAGACGATCCACGGAGTGGAATTCAAGGACTGGTATCCGGCGGTCGGGGAGGGGACGATCCTGGTGGCGGACATGTCCTCCAACTTCTGCTCCAAGCCGGTGGATGTGTCCAAGTTCGGGGTGATCTACGCCGGCGCGCAGAAGAACGTCGGGCCGTCCGGGGTGACGATCGCGATTGTGAGGAAGGACTTGGTGGGCGGTGCGCAGCCGATCACTCCCGTCATGCTCGACTTCAAGACGCACGCCGACAACAAGTCGCTCTACAACACGCCGCCGTGCTTCGCCATCTATATGTGCGGGCTTGTTTTCGAGGACCTCCTCCACCAGGGCGGGCTGGAAGCCATAGCCAGGAAGAACAATGACAAGGCCGAGATCTTGTACCGGGCCATCGATGGCAGCGACGGTTTCTACAAGTGCCCGGTGGAGGCATCGGTGAGGTCGGTGATGAACGTTCCTTTCACCATGGCGTCGCCGGAGATGGAGGCCGCGTTTGTCAAGGAGGCTGCTGGCAAAGGGATGGTGCAGCTCAAGGGGCATCGCTCGGTTGGGGGCGTGAGAGCGTCCATCTACAACGCCATGCCCAGGGCGGGCGTGGAGAAGCTGGTGGCGCTCATGAAGGATTTCCAGGCAAGGCATCAGGCCAAGTAAACTCCTTTTTCGGCATTCTGCATTCTCTTTTCACCCTTGCAACTTTAAGCTAAATAATGATAATGAATTGTTTTGATCGTTAACAAATTAGCATGGCACAAACAAAATGTGTATCGTTCATTTAAATTTGATTGATTGAATGTTGCTTTGAGTATTTTGCTCGTCATTCTACAATCTGTTTGCAAATCTGCCTGGTTTGCAAAGAATAGTTGAAACAAGCCAGCTTCTTCTTCTTCTCCAGCATGATGAAGTATGAATCTGTGGTGGCAATTCGCCACTGATCTGCGCGGCCATGTTAGAGAAAAATAGAACTCACCACTTTAGCCTTGTTTCTGTTTGTCCTCGGGCACCTGTCATGCATTGTGGAGGACCTCCCAGTCTTCCAACGAGCTCCCAAACCCGGCCTGCTGGCTCAAAAACGAGCTCATCTTGGGGATAAAAATCACTAATGCACATCATAAGATGTTTCATGAGTCATTTTCCTCCACGCCATCAACAAAACTCTAGCTCTTCTGCTGCTGATAGAGTAAAGTTTTGCAACCTTTCTTTCAAAATAGTAGCCCTGTAGTAGTTTGTAAATACAAAAATAATGCTTATGATTTAATATTTTAAAATAACTAATTTAAATTTTGCACAATAATTCCCAATAAATATCCAAATTAAGAAAAAGCTCCACAACTGGCTAGAAATGCAATTTGTATTAAAGCAAGTGGAGTGTAACTCTATGTAACACCTTCTTTTATGCTCTTATGACACTTTAATTAATCATGGGTGTTTGTGGAGTTTTTACAATTATTTTTTAGTTTAAACATCAAAATAAATATTATTAATTATTTTTCATTAATAATTTTAAATTTTTATTTACATACATAAAGTATTTTTAATTGTATTACATCATTTATAAATAAAAATGTCATTTTAAATGGGGAAAAAATATAAAATATTCATGTATACACCTTAAAAAACACTTTTTAAAGAGCTAATTATTGACTTTGTCTCCCCTCTTCCACACAGTCATGCATATTAAGAACTAAGTGTAAAAATGTTTAACTATTTAAAATATTATAAAGTATTTAGTTAATGAATATGATTAAAAATGTAAATTTATTAAACTTAGTGTTTATAAAACCTTACAACAAAAATAAACATACAAAACAAATTATAAAGTACTTATTTAAAAACAAATTGAAATAGAAATAAAAACATTTAATGATTTATTACAACAGGTAATTTTTATTTTTTTTCATATCTATAAAAGTAAAAAAATAATAATAATTTTTTCACTGGATTATACTGACTATTTTTGTTGTAACCTTTATAAGAATGTATTTATCAATTTTTTTATTTAAATCTGAATTATAATATCTTTAATTTTGAATATAACTAAGCTATATACATTAAATTTTAATTTAAATAACATTTTTATTCAATATCATAAGTTTATTGTATTAAATTGATTAATAAAGTGGCAACCCTTATCAATAAGGAATGGTTGTAGGATGTAGTAAAAGAAAATAATTCTATGATTAAAATATGATTTTATTAATTATTATATCATATTACAACTTAATTGATTAGCTTTAGGTCACTTTTCATACCTTTTCTTTACTAAAACAATTTCAATAAACATTCTATTTTGTCCTAATCACAATGACTATTTATGCAAAACTGATAACCTACATAGACGTACCTTTGGTCTATATACCCATAATTTATTTGTGTCAGCAATGGACCTACACAATCCATAATAATTCCGTTAAAACTCCACACATAAGAAGTCTCTGGTGCCAAGAAGAATAAAGCAATTTAGTGTCAAGCTTTTACCAAGACCGTGTAAAACTCGAGTTTCACTGAGACCGGTTCCTACCATCAAAACCAAGGTCGTCATCATTTACACACAAAAAAGATGATTTTGACGGCTCTAGACAAGCCCGGTAGAAGAAAACTTCCGAGACGACTTGGCAGCAAACAAATCAGATTGTGTTACGCGGACAGTAAGAGTAAAAAATGAAATAGAAGGGAACAGAAGACCGTGTACCTAAAATCGTGCACGATTCACGACAAAGTCATCCAAAGGACCTCGCCTCCCCTCCTCCAGCTATAAAATGCCTGCCCCTCCCTCATATAGCTCCATCAGTCTTTTCCAAGCTCGCAAGATGGCTCATCTTCGTTTTGTTCTATCCTTCCTCCTAGCAATCAGCTCCATCTTGTTTGTGCATGCCGCGGATGAAGATATGCTGCAGGACTTTTGCGTTGCAGACAATGGCTCCAAGATCAAAGTGAACGGCGTCGTCTGCAAGGCGGCCGCCGATGTGAAAGCCGAGGACTTCAAGTCGAGCCTGCTGGCGACTCCCGGGAACACCGACAACAAGCTCGGCTCCAACGTCACGCTGGCGAGTGTCAACAATTTCCCCGGTCTCAACACCTTTGGTGTAGCTTTTGCCCGCGTCGACTATGCTCCCGGCGGCACCAATCCCCCCCACGTCCATCCCCGAGGATCCGAGCTGCTCTTCCTCGTGCACGGGAACCTCTTAGTCGGATTCGTCACCACCTTGCCGGACAACAAGCTCTTCGCCCAAATGCTCTATCCTGGAGATCTGTTCGTCTTCCCTAGGGGACTCGTCCACTTCCAGCTCAACGTTGGAAAGGAGCCTGCGGTTGCGATGGCTGGCTTCAACAGCCAAAACCCCGGGGCAACTCAGGTGGCCAAGGCGGTGTTTGATTCCAATCCTCCAATCAATGACGACGTGATCGCGAAAGCGTTCCAGATTGACGACCGTGGTCTCATCCAGAAGCTGAGAGAGCTCATCGGCATGACTTGAAAGTCTCTCTGGTTGCGAGGCACACTTGACTAAGTTACATATATAATTAAATTATTTTTCCAAAGCTGTCACCTTTCGATAGTGGGACTTTCGTAAGCACAGCTAGATAGAATAAAAAACAAACACATCGCTTTCCCGCCAATTTCCATTTTAAACACTCTCTTGGAGCGAATTGCCAGCACATACGTCGATCCAATGCCCGAAACATTACAAACCAGAGCATCCGGCACAAACGGCATGGCACGCAGCAATTCCTCGGCATTCTCCAGTTGCCTGTCACGGCCGAAGATATCGATCATGCAGACGAACTGATCCCTGCCTGGCGCGATCCTAAAATCCTCTGTCACGAGAAGAAAGAAATCCTTGTTGCGATTCACGGAGCTGATGTAGGCGCAGGCCGGAATGTCACCTTCCACGCTCCCATCGAGGACTTTCTCGCCCTCGCCACAATGAGCAAACGCAGTGATCCCTTTATGCGGTAGTGAAGTGAGGTCCATGATTTTCAAGAAAAAGACCAAAACTACACTTTGCCAACTCACCCAAGCCCTCTCTAATCCTCAAGCATGTGTTAGAAGAGGCTTTTGGCAAGATGAGAAAGTATCTCCTTTAGCCTACTTTGAGAGGATTTCGAGATTTACCTGGACGTATTTGAGTGTGCTGCATATAATAATCAAGTGGCTGGACATGAGAAGGTTCTGTATGGCTCTATCAGGAGAGGCACAGAGAATGTTCGTTTCATGCTGTGCACGAGATCAGATTGTTTGGTGGGATGAGCAGTGCACTCGATTTCCAGGCTGTGGTGATGTTCAATTAAGATTGCATTATTAAGATTGGAATCACAAGAACATGGAAAGAACTGGACGTGTCTCCCAGCGTGGTGTGTGTTTCGTCCGGGAATTAATCTTGTGATGTTTGCTCAAGGCGATGTAGCCTTGATTGTCACTGTAGATTGGTGTTGGGCCGGGTGGTCGTTGAGGAGGCGGCGAAGCCAGATGGCCTCTTTGCATGCGGAACTAGCCTCCGCCTCACAGCTGGAGCAGGCAACGACGCTCTGCTTCTCGCTGCCAACTGCATTGTGAAGGCTAAACAATTTAGCCAAAGCCAGCCCCGTAAGCTTGACTCGTGGCCTTAAGACTGTAAGAAAACAAATCTACGTTTAAGTGTTTGCCAATGTTGAGGTCCAGGATTGTCAAAGGTTCTTGCACAAAGTGGAATTCGAACGGATTAGTGCACCTTCCATAGCGTCCATATCCCCTCTAAAACTAGAAAAAAACTCACTCGAACAAGCGAACGAGGCATTTTTCTAGGCTATAGCATTGAACACAAGGCTTACAAGATCGACAATCCTGTCTCAAAGGCGCTGACCATCTCACCAGACGTGCATTTCAATGAGACTCCATCACGTCAAGTGGGAGAAAATCTGCCTTTGCCAGTGCTGCCCAATGCCCAATCCGAACGACCTGCGAATCTTCAAGACTCACTGCAGCCGCTCCTCTTTGCAGATCTTCTCGCCAGAACAAGGGCAAGCCACCACCACGGCTGATTGCTCGCAGCTGTGCAAGACATCCCTGAAAGTCTTGTGGAGACTTTACTTGCTGGAGTGGAACTTCTAGGAATTCCACGCAGCTCCCAAGTCAAGGAAAAATGGAAAGTTGCCTTTATCATTCCCCTTCACCTTGGTGAGACAAGCGCCTCATGGACGCAAGCTGGGTAAATTGATGTGTGACTGTAATGGGAGGGAGCGGAGGTGGGGAAGAATGGGGAAAGGAGTGGAGGATTTGGAGGAGAATTCGCCGCCAGATGGAAAGAGCCTGACGTGTCTCCTAGAGTGACGTGTCAGCCACGTGGCTGTCCGCCTCTTCACTTATCGTGGCAGCACCCGGAAGGGCCGGGAGCTGGCGTGGGCTGATCCTGGGTGAGCATTCTCCGGGAGGTCCTTTCGAGAAGAGTGTGGATCTTGTTAACAACAGGAAGGCGCAATTCGAAATTGAAAAGCTCGGCCTGTTGGCTCATCACCGAAAACGAGCCTGGCCTGGAACAATCGATGTTGCCGCTGATCATGATCACCAATGTGATGGCAAGAAGTATCCTTCCACGATCCATTCCAGCCACAAAAGCACTAAACGTAGTGATGATATCGTTGTATAAGAACCAAGAGCTGTGCTTGCTCTGCTACGATTGGATCCAATGGGCCTCCAGTGCTTTATATTCATTCACACAGAAAGTTCTCCACCGGGCTTGGTAAACAGTCAAGTCCTTTGCACGTGCCATCTGTCAAAACAAGACTCGTTAGCTTCCAAGCCAGAACACTCTACGAGCAGTTTTTCAAAGT